TTGGATGGAACATTACTTTTTGGGCCATATATGACACCCTTATTTATGACGCAATGATGGATGTTCCGATAAACACTTTTTTTTTCTTTTTTATATGATGCAAAATTTGACTAAGATTTATCAAATGTATGGTTTATTAAACATAGCAATATATGCAAAATCAAATTTAGAATCTCGCTCAAAAATTTCAAATTTCACTGGCAATTTCATGTATAAATTTTTATAAATTTTATGTGAAATATGTATATATTTGTATACATAGCAGGAGTTTTCTCTCAAAAATCTAACTTAATCTCGTTGGACACTTCAAATTTTATTCCCAATTTCATGTATAAATCTCTACAAATTTTCTATGAAATATTTGTATAGTTGCATAGAAATTGTAACGTTCATTTTGGTTTCTAAATAAAAAATTCTATAAAATTCTTAATTAAAAGTTTATTTTAAGAGGTATATGAAATCTGATATAATATGTATAAGATCTGTATTAAAATTCTATAAATTCTTAATGAAAAATTTATTTTAAGAGGAATTACGAAATCTGATATAATATATATAAGATCTGTATTAAAATCCTATAAATTATTAAGGTATACGATATCTGATATAATATGTAAGATATTAATATCTGTATTAAAATTGTATTATATCCTATTTTTAAAACATCTATAACAACTTACATCTTATGAACAAATTTCATTGAACTAATTATACATTGAATGTCTATTTACTACTTCCATACAAATTTTAACAACTCCAACAACATACAAACTTAAAATACAATTTTCATACAACTCAAACATAAATTATAATATAAGTTCAATATAATTCTAACTGTAACTTCGAATTTCAACTAGTGAGACTAAAATTCAGTTCAAAATTGACTTAAATCATACCTAATGTGCATATTATAACCCCATGCAAGATGGAAAGTACAAAAGATAGACTGTTATTACACTAGAATTGATTATCGATCATCTCATCACTCTACAATACATTTCTTCTCATGATCACCTTATCGATTTGTTTACAAAGGTAGTGACATATATCTCTCATCTCCAAATTGCTACTATGTTATCACCAATACCATTTTGAGAAGGCTATTAGGTATACTTGGCACAAAAGACAATCTTTCTTAGAGTAAGAATAATTACAAATTGATAGTTATATCAATATACTCTTTTTCTAGAATAGAACTTTAATCATATAGTAGGAAATCGTATTTGCTTAGAGCCCGTTTAGATTGACTTAAAAAAAATAATTTTTAAGTCAAGAATAAAAAGTCAAACTTAAATGATTTTTAACTTATTTTAAACACTTTCTAATTTATTTTAAGTTATTTTTATATTCGTCAAACACTTTCAGAAGTCAAAAACTGACTTAAAAGTAGATTTGACCAACCTTTTAGTCAACCCAAACATCTCCTTAATTGGTTGACTACCTGAACTCTGACTTTGTTGGTGAGAGTTTGATTCCCTACCTTTTAATTGGTTGACTACCTGAACTCTGACTTAAAAGTAGGTTTGACCAACCTTTTAATCAACCCAAACATCTCCTTAATTGGTTGACTACCTGAACTCTGACTTTGTTGGTGAGAGTTTGATTCCCTACCTTGTAATCATCCCTGTCCGTTTCCCCTTTTCCCTACCCCCAATTAATATCATTTTGTACTGCATACTTGAAAAATATAGATATACTACTCAGAAAATCTCAGGTTTGTCTAGCATATAGCCTTATATAAATCCAATTATTTTATCTGTTGTATGGACAAGATATCTCCATAATTTTATCCAACATATATGCACATTTGGTAGTTAGTTTATAGAGTTTGCATATTTTCTTGTCAAACAATCTTGAACTCACTATCAATCTCTTCTAATCACCAACATAAGAATCAATAGTTCATCCAACATTATCAATCATCATCAGAATACACATCCAATTTGTTCATTCCTTTTCTTTAACATCTACAAGAAAAAATGCAAACAAAAAACATACCTCGTCGGTTTCTTCCCATATCTAATTATCCATCTCCTTCAGTCTTTCTAAATTACATCAAGGTTTCCTCCCATTTTCTGAGAATTAGACTAATCCTTGTCCAAGATGTAGTGCTGTATATTGCATTCAAATGCAAAGAATCCTCTCAAAACTAGCAAATGATTGAGTTGATCATCTTGCCCACAAAACTGTACCCTTAACCACCATAATAACTGGAGAAACAAGTTATCAATCTGCACTTAACCCTTATGTACAACTTTCTACCCCTAGGCTATATTGGTGTCAACGGACAATTACACTGTTTATACATGGCTAAAATTATGTTTTTTTTTTGTATATAGTAGATGTTGGATCTCCTTTTTTTCCTTTTTTTGTGGATTCACTTCTTCATATATTCAACTACCTTAGTGAAATTGTGGCTCCGCCAATGCTCTGAATTCTTCCAATTTCATTCTCCATATAATCTGTATCAAACCAATATTGCTCATCCTCAATAATGTGTCTATCGGTCACTTCTCCAGAAGATTTCCTGGTACCATCATCAGCAGAATCAGTATCTTCTTCAAAGATCATGGCAGGACTCCGGGGAATTGTTACATCTTCTCTAGCCTTGACATTGGTATCTTCACAAATGCATGCTGATGGATTTTCATGAAACTCGCCCCTGCCTGGCTTTACCTCCATTGGGTCTCCCATGAAACCTATTTGCTGTTTTTGAACTTGTGAGCTGAACTCTTCCCATGTCATGTTATTTCGATCAGTAAACATCTTATAAAGCTTCTTCGCATTTGGACGGATGGTTGGCTTGTGACCGAAATATCGCCTACAACATGTAATGGATTCCACTAAATTGAGTAGCTCTAACTGAAGCGATGAAATAATGCTTTCAAGTTGAAATTAGCAAGAGCATACCTTCGTCCAGCAAGCATTCGTGCCATATTTCCATTGTTATTTGAAACAAAGACATCACTCTCATCACAAACAATGAAATCTAAAGCAGCCATCCTGGAAGAAAAAGAAGAAAATGGTGCCAGCTCTTCCTTGCTGGCAAGTGTCTCTTTGGTATAAAAATTTGGAAAGAAAGCCTTGAGAGGAGCCAACGTCTCCTCGCCTCCATAGATTTCCCCTGATGCAATATAAATATGAACATCATTACCAAAACCAAGTGCTCTAAGCATAAGGCCAACTTCCCCAGGAGTTAGTGGGCATTTGCCGTTCTTTCTTTCTTTATCTGGATTTGTTACCTGCATTTTATGCCAAAGAAACAACATCTTGTTTAAGTAAGTAGTAGGATCAACATACTCAATATTACCAGTTACTATAATAGCTTTATGACATACACGTAATGCCTTCCACCTCTTTCGTATTATACCCAGTTCTCGCCTTTCCTTGTCTCCTCCACCATAGTAGCATCCAGAGAATGCTAGCATGTCTGATTCAAACCTATCACATGAGAAATAAAACTTCAGCTAGCATATAATAATGGCGTGGAGAAGTCCACAGTCTACACTAACATGATTAACTTTAAGGTCGCTAAATGAAACTCATTGAATTAAAAAAAAAAGCAGCACAAAATATAGGCATTCTAGATTTTGACACTACTGAATTAGTGCAACAGCAACAAGACTGAGCTTTAGAATTACATCCTATCTAGAGATTAAAGAGTCACAATGGAGTTCAGAATATCTGGATACCTGTTTCTATTGATTTACATGTAAGAAAAAAATTACAGCCAGGAAAATCTCGTGGCAGTATCAAATATGCACATTACCTTAGATGCAGCGCAAGGAAGTGTTGGCTTTTCTTTCTTATCCTCTCAACCAATTTTTTTCCCATTTCAATTATGGGATCAGTAAACTTCAGTGCGTGATAGTTGACTCTACATCTCAGCTTCTGTAGCTCCGTATCCAAATGATTGGAGAGTCTGTAATCAAATTTTGTTAACTGAACAGCCTGCATCAGCAAAGCAGATACGCCAGTCTTCAAAACTTCTAGTCTAGGAAATAAGTTTCACTTGATACAAAATGTAGCTAATATTATTTCCTAATTTCTGTAGCAGAATTTTCAATATGAACACTATGATTTGGATCTGCATCAGTCTCGACTGGAAAAAAAAATATTGACTTTCACAATAATCAGGACATACACATAAATCAACAAGAAAAACAGAACATTAACTTAGAGAGACTGCAAGTAATCTTGCAAAAATTTCTGTCAAGGAGTGGCACCATGTTAAGATACAAGAAACAAGTCGAGCTCAGTGAAGTAATTCTAACATTAAATTGACTTACATGCTTTTTATTTAAAATTGGCCGGATACGAGTCTGATAACACTCAGCATTGCACTTCCTTGGAACACGTGTTGTGTGCGGAATTATGAGTTCATTTCCCATTCTAGGGAGATCCTTAACAATTTTGACATCCTTTGAAAGGTACGAAATAAACCAGTTGACATCAAAAATTTCAGAGAAGTCGCTGCAAAAAAAGGAATGATTACTCCCAAAAAATGAAATCACTAAACGAAAGAAGGGATTGATGATAAAATGCATCCAAGTATAAATCATATCAAGTAAAAACCTTGAATCCTTCCAATAGGATTGTTTATCCAGCTTTGGAATTACAAGGACAGCATTCAAGATATGAGCAGCCACAACAGCATCAATAATCTGCATTCAGCAATAATAGAACACAAACTCGCATCATTTCAACAGTCTCTTAAATGTAACAGTGAAATAAAAAACTTCCAGGCTAAACATCTGTTCATAGCATAAATCCATTAACAATTTAACAACATGCATGGATTTAATTTCATTCAAGAAGTGATGGGACACCAAGATGGGCAGGGCAGCCCAGTTGCTCAGGATCATGATTTAAATAGAAATAGGTCGATTTTGTTGGAAAATTCAGGTTATAACAATAATTTATTTTCCTAATTGTGGAACGGTTAATTACTCGAATGGATCAACAGAATCATTTGATTTTTTCTACTAATGATTCTAACAAAAATCCATTTTTGGGGTGCAACAAGAGTTTGTATTCTCAAATGATATTTGAAGAGTTTGGGATAGGAATCCATAAAGAAACGATCCAATTAATCACGATACAAAATGAGAATCGTATGGACACAATTTTGCACTTCTCAACAAATATAATCTGGTTTGGTATTCTGAGCGCGTCAAATCCCAGGGCTCAACCCTGGACAGGCGGTGGAAACTACCAAGCAGGAGTACGGTAGGGGCAGAGGGAATTTCCGGTGGAGCGGTGGAATGCGTAGAGATTGGAAGGAACACCAAGGGCGAAAGCACTCTGCTGGGCCGTCACTGACAATAAGCTCCCACTATGCGCGGAGTCTATGGAAGACCTATTGTATGCAGCCTTACCCTGCATTTTTACAAGAGGCTGATTTTACAGCTCAAACTCGTGACCTCCTGGTCACATGTGACACCATGATGGTATATGATAAATGTGGAATGAACAAGAAAAACTAGATCCATTACTAAAGGACAAAAAGAGCACGAAAAAGGAAATAACTGGCTATCGATTTTCTTCAATTTCCCAGTGACTATATGCATCAGATCGTTGTCTTAGTTGTGCGGACTCTTCACTTGTGATACCGCACCCGTCTCAGATTCTTCAAAAATACACTACTTTTGGAAAATCCGACGAGCACCCGTTGGCATTTTTGAAGAGTTCGAGCAACATAGATCGGTGTTGCTTATTAGTTCTTCTAGGTCAAAGGAAGCATACTTAAAATGAGGTAAACTTATTCAGGAGAAGATTGTCTGCTTCTTTTACTTAGATTTGATGGAATATGAGGTGAAGCTTTCATCACATTGGTTTTGCTTTGCTGCTCACTCATGTCAATAATTGGTGATTACCTAATTCGAACAAAGTTTGTGAGGGAAGATGCCTCATAGAATCCTATTTGACATGGTTTAATCCGCGGTAGGAAAACCTTGGGATTTAAGATTTGATGTGTTTCAACAACATGTCAAGGTTGTCTTTTACCTTACTTTAGTTTATTTCTCAACAGCTACAAAAGTCACAACTTGGAGTTAGTTTAAATACTCAAAAATGCCATGGGGAAGATGCACTTGTAACAGTAGAAGAATCCGTTGAAATGACAAAGATAGCATATCTTACAAAATAGTAACACATCGACGAAAGAGCCATTTCCATCAATCACTACTGTTAAGTATGAAATTGAATACTAGCGTCTGTCCATGTTATTGACCTTCTATGAGTGAAAAGTTATCAGTTAATAGGACAAGAGCAATACCCCTGTTCTCTGTTGATTCAAGCCTCCACTAGTTGCAATCAACAAGTACCTATTAGGAAGTGTATTAACCTCAGCAGCTGCAAAATGTTATCAGGTTCCCATATCAAACAGAGAGAAACAAATGTAGAGACGAATCTAGAATTTAAATTTTTTATGGGTTCAGATTCGTAATTCTACCACCTTGATCAGTATAAATGCCATTTTCAAATGAGCCCATAGATTGTTCACTGGATTTGAAAAAATTACACTTACACCTCTGCCCGCCTCCCTCATTAGCAATTGATGATGAAAATGAGTGATCAATTGAATTGGAAACCTAAAAAAGGGAAACCCACTCACCTGGAAACTCGTCACTGGCAATACTGCAACCATGGTAGAGATTCGATTTCTTCGAATTCCATATATCTCGGCTTAATCTCCCTCCTTCCACCTATCCGAGGATAAATTAACCACGAAAATCAAATCAAATCAAAAAACTCATCATAGAAATGTAAAATCCGTAAAAACGCTCACTCACTGGTTCCTGAATCACTTGTTCTTCAAGCAGGTTCCTTCGGGGCTCTGTTCCATTATAGAACTATAATAGCAACACAAAATTAATAAAAAAAAAAACTTTTTTTGTAACGTAAACAACATTTCGTGTTCTCACCAAGCTGATGAACTGATCATGGCGGCTATCTATGGGAGGAGATATATAAGATATCAACACAAATAGAATGAGAACAACAACGGATAAAGCTGTAATTAAAGGAACAAGCTGGAAAATGTTGCTCCGTCTCCGGTATAAAAGAATGATCGGAAATCCTAAAAACACCGTCGTTTCACGGTGATGTTTTCTGTTCTTCATGTTTCGTAAAAAAAAAAACTTAAGAATCGATCAATATCGCCGGTAATTCAACAACTCAGGCGAGCTAACAATCTGCTCGGAGTCTCCGCCTCCGACGATAACAGAAAATGCAGGTAACGTATAATGTGTTGTGTTATATATATATATATATATATGCTTACAACAACTAATTAATACGTATTTATCTGTTTAATCCTTAATTAATTAGTTAAAAAAGTAAGTGTAGCCTCGACTAAATCGCACCTAAAATCTTAGTTAACAAAATATTAAGACTAGTCACATTTATCATGACTTTCTATTTTGAACTGATCTGCACGGAGTATAACAATACGGTCAAATCTGCATGAACTTCATTTCTCCGTTTCCTCGTTTTAATTTATTTGACTTTTATTTTTTAAAAAATAAAATAAAATACGCAAGGGCTTAAAATTTTCATGGCAGACATTCCAATCGAGATTGAAGTTGGTATAGTCGGGCAGTTCTAGTTGGTATAGTCGAAAACTCTAAATTCTTCGTAATCAATATTTAGATTTTTTTCTTTTTTAACAACTCTTTTATTTTAGTTTTTTATCCGACATATTTAATATTATAATATTAAAAAAAAATTAATATGTTTTGACATAGTTTTAATTTAGACCATAAAATTCAAAAAATAAATTTCATCTCTTCTATTTTCAAATTTGAAAGGGGTGGGGTATGAAAAGGGTCAAATAAACCTTTGGATTTTATTATTACTCTTATATACAATTTTTTTTAAAAATTGAATTAAATCTATTATTTTTGTTAGATTAAAAAAAAGTATATTTGGATCGTTTGTAAGATGATAGAGTTACATTTTGACTACTTTTACAACGGAATTTTAAAAAGTATATCCAATTATGTTTTATTAATTTAATTTGATAATGTAAATAAATGCGGAGAATTAGTTTTTTTTTGTGTTTATAAACAACAATAGAATTGGTCTTCGTAACAAAATATTGTTGAGTGTTTTGTGCTTATATTTTATCACTTTCTTTTTGTGATAAGTAGAAAATTGCTTATATTATTGATGGTTTTAATCTGTATGAATTATAGTGATTAAAATATAGTTGAGTATTTTGTGCTTATAAATTATCACTTTCTTTTTGTGATAAGTAGAAAATTGCTTATATTTCTCAACGATTATATTGATGGTTTTAATTTGTGTGTCGATTATAGTGGTTAAAATATTTAAATTTGATTATAGATCGAGTCAAATGCTTTTATTTTTTATGATAAAATTTACTTACTTAAAGAGTAAATGAAATATACTATACATTAACAAAAATTAATTATTCAAAACATTTTAAGAAAATGTTTAAGGCATTATCGTCAAAGAAAAAATTGTTTGATTCCTTAAATATAAATATTCCTATAAAAAATCAAATTTGTATCTAGTCTCAATTGGTATATATGTAAAAATCATGCTTCGGAGTATTTGTGCATTTAGTGGAGCGCTAGGTTGTTCAAAATCGAATTAAAATTAATAATCTGAATTGAGAAAAGATTATTAGTTTATCAGTATTAAGTTATTAGTTTAGTGGTTTTGATAACGATTTTGAATTTTTTTTTGTTATCGGGTTATCGGTTCTTCATTGTTTGAAGTTTTTTCTTAACGGATTAACTGATAATCTGATAGTAAATGAAATATTTATACTTTTATCATTTTGTATATAAAGTTCTTGACTTAGAGTTTGATTTCCTACTTTATTTTGGTTGTTTGAAACGCTTGGTTATTATATAATGTAAAAGTGTTTGTTTTTAAGCAAGATGTAACTTGTGAACTCATGTGCATGGTTTATTTGGTTTGTCAACTTATTTCTAAGTGATTTTTAATAATTTTTTTTGTGTCAAATCTTAACACTTACACCAATAACTGAAGCAAATGTCTTAAAGTTCTACAACGATTTAGCATCTTAAAAATTGATAATCAATAAATCAAACCGATAAATTTTAAAATCGAACAGAACCGACCGATAACCTAGTGGACGAGCCCTAGTAATCAAAGAGGCCTTTTATTCTATTTCAATTTGATTGAACAATAAAATGAAAATTATAAATATTATTATTTGAATTATAATATTTATGTAATTATAAAATTTATAAATTTAAAAAAGTAACAATATGTATGTGTATATAAGATGTTTTAAAAATATAATAATAGAAATATATCATTTATTTTAACGGATTAATAAAGAATTAGAGTCGACCAAACTGAACGAAGGGGATAAGATAAAAGATTTTATTGCAATTATTTCTGACATTAATATAATCGTTGTTATATTATATTTAACATTAATAAGAATATGTGTCTTCATAATCAACACACTATATAAATGTCTTAGCAACTCTGTGATGACATTAACTCAATTATTTATTTTCATCGCGATATTTTAAAGATTCTTTTATTATCATTAAATATCTCTTTTGTTATAGTGAAAATATTGAAAGATATTAATTCTCACTTGCTTAAATTATTCATTGTAATTTTTAAAATAGTTATTTCAAGTTACTTTTCATTTTAGAAGGTCAAAACTAAATTAATTTTTTTCCTCCTTTTATCCTTAATAATACTTATTTTTTAAGACTATAAATATCTCAGTAAGATATAAATGAGGATAAGCCCCCTCCACTTGATCAATATTTTTGCTGAAGAAAGGTTTCATTGAATAATTTGACACAGAATATGAGAACTATACAAATTCTCTCTATTTGTATTCGCTGATACAACAATGATACAAATTCAAATGTTGAACTACATACAATATTTATACAGTTATATTCAGATACAAATTGTATACGTTAATAAAATTGATACAATATTGGTACACATAATAATAATCTATTACACAAATATAAATGTCGAACCAGATACAACATGATACAATTGTATTTGTTGATACAGTTTATTCATTGATACAAATATTAACACAATTATATCTATTGATACATATGCATACTAGTTATATATATGATCATCCAACAGATATATAAATACAATCATTCGTACATATCCATGTTAGTTACATATATAATTATTCTGTCGACATATATAATTATTCTGTCGATATATAAATACAATTCGTATCTCTTTCTCAACTCTCTCCCCCCTCTCCCAATCTCGCTCGTTGTTTTCCTCTTAAAACATACAATTACAAATTATAATCAAATAAACTATTATTATTTTTTTTAATCTTTTCTAGTCATAGCATGAATACACACGAGGATGATTAGTTTATGGATTTGGGGTGGGGCGTTTAACGGATAAGATGTCAAATTGTTTGGTGTTAGATATAATATAGATAACGATTAATTAACATCCTAATTAGGACTAATTGGGTAGTAAGATTAATTTGGGACTAACAATTGTGACATCTACTTTACTTAATTTTTACACCCTCAATCCCAAAATAAGACGATACGAAAATTAAATTATTTAATTATTTTTTTATTCAAATTATATATGTAATATTATATTTTAAAAGAATTTAAATTATATATCGTGTCGATATAAAGTTGAACAAATAGAGCAGATGCGAAACGTATTCGTATATTGTGAAGACGTGCGATATTCATTAAATTGTGTCGTAATTGCAACGTAAGCTTGAGTTGTTTGTTGAAAATTGGAATCATGTAATATATACTACTATATTATTAATTAGTATATACCAAACTTATAAACAAAAATAAAGAATTTTAGAAGGGTTTGGTCAACTGTTATATGAGGCCGTTGACAATCCCCAATCATTCATAATTAATGTTGAGTGGATTAATAGTTAGATCTTTTAAATTATCATTCATAATTAATGAGAGATTTTAAATTTGAGTTTTGTATGTAAAATTTTTTAGTAAAAAGTGTTTTTCTTCTAATGGATTCATACAGGACCTGAATTTGAGATAGTCGAATTTTATTGCGGATATGAATTCCAAACGTTCGGAAAATAAAAAAAATTCATCTTTTTAATTCCAATAATCACTAGTTATACTTGTAATTTACTATTCCATCGTTTCATTGTTTATTTATTCATATTTAACTTGACACACCATTTAAGAAACAATAAATAGTTGAGTAATTTTATTATATGTCGTAATAAAAATTAGTCCTCTAAATGTGAAAAAAAAATGAATTGTATTTAAAAGTAAAGGTAAACTTGACACACCCCTTAAGAAACAATGAATAGATGAGTAATTTTACTATATCAGCCGTATTAGTTATAAGTCCTCCAAATGAAAAAAAATGAATAGTGTTTAATAGTAAAGGTAAAGTAGATACAAAATAATAAATTCTCTTATTTTTTGAAACAAAACAAATAAATTTGAACAACTATTTTTAATATATTGGACAGATAAAAATGAACAAAAGGAGTAATTTTCTCTTTTAATTATTAATTATCCTTAATGTGTACTATATATAGCGTATATCTTAGTTGTGTTGAAGTTCGATTAATTTAAATTTATGTTAGGTAAGGTCTAATTCGAAAGATAGCACTTCTTAACAAGAATTTTTTTCATACTTAAAGCTCGAATTCAAAACCTCTAATCAAAAGAGTCGGTACTTCTACCCAACACACATATATATATATTATTTTAATCAAGTGCACATATATGGAGTTTGGCCAAATGTAGATAAAAAGGGAAGGAGTCAGAAAAGTAGAATAATTGTTGGTGGTGGAGAACATGCAAAGCAGTCGGATTCATGTCCTAAATATATCAAACAAGTTGCTGTGAATGGACGGACAGGTAAATATTTTTTCATTCTTAATAGTTTGTGTTTAAAATTTTCACGTATAAAATTTTGCGTTTGAATCCAAGATTAACTATTTATTAAGGATTTTTTCATATACAAATCATTTGATTAAAGAAAAAGTAACTTTATTCACTTCACTATATTCTTTAATAGTAAGTTCTTGGAATTAGTAACCAGAGAATATTTTTAAGTTAGTTAGAAAGTAGTCACTTATTTTACATAATTTAGCTCACATTTTATCATAAATTTTCATTATTTATTGTTTCAAAAAAATTAATTTTAGTGAAACTTTTATTGAAGTTGAATGTGATTGACCGCAGACATATTTTACCGTCTTTTTTTTTTTCAAAAAACATGAAACATAACTTATATCCATAAGCATTATACATTTTTAAAGGTCATTTAATTGAGAATAAGTAATTAATCACATGATATGTTATTTCAAAATAAGTTATTCGATCACTATGACAAAAATGATACAATAAATGATCCAATAAGTACCTAATACCTCCAATTAAATATGGTATAGAGTAATTCATACACATAATTTTAAAATTATTTATACCTTATAGCTCACACTAACGACTCTTATAATAGCTAAGTAAGACGGTCCTTCTAGCTTGCCGGGAAAGGGAGCAAACAAATGAACCATTTGACATTTTTTTGGCAAACAAGCGATACAAAGTGTTTGTGAGGAAGTCTGCCTCAAGCACAAAAGTTGGAATCAAATTTATTCACCTTCATTACAAAAAAAGACATTCTATAGGAAATAAATGGCTATAAGCTTGTAAAATCCTGTTTTCTTACAGTACTATTTCCACATGGGAGATTCACGTTATTTTGTGAAGTGTGCCATCTTGAAAGGCATGGTGCACCAAGAGAAGTAGAGAACAATTGAAGTCGTCGAAAGGATGATAAATTAAAAACATGTTGAAGCATGACTAATCTCGAGTAAGGAAGATATGGGAGTGGGTTTAGAAATTAGTCCAGATTTGCAATGACAGCATCCGTGATTTCTTGGGTGGTGCAGTCTCCACCAAGATCTTTGGTCATGTATTTACCTTCGGCAATAACACGCTTCACTGAAGTCTCTAGTCTATCTGCAAATGAAGGGAACTGCAGATGTCTCAACATCATGGCTGATGAAAGAAACAAGGCAATTGGGTTTGCCTTCTTTTGCTCTAGTATCTTTTCATTTCCTACATTTCCTGCTGAAGCACCTTGCTCAAACACGGCATGGTCAGCCCCCACATTGCCTGAACCACAAGAAGCCAGTCAAAAAGATGAATATGATCATTTTACAGAGTAGAGAGGATGGAATATGCAGGAATTTTTTCTGAAACATATCCACATCAATATAGAGAGAACAAATTCTGACTGTCAATTACATGTACCTCCTGGCATAACACCTGTGCCTCCAGCAATACCAGCTGCTGTATTTGCTACCAGATTTCCGTAGAGATTAGGGGTGACCTGTGAAATACAACTTCAAATTCATATCCAGACTGAAACATTTAGTGACAATGTAATGTCAAGAAAAGCACACACAGTGAACAGGAAACAAAAGTAGGTTCCTGCTATACAGTATGGATAAGGATTACAAAATCTATTCTGTAAACTTCCATACTCGTTAAATGTCAGCAAGACGGAAGTGCTGTTATATTTCGCATTTCAGCAACCTAAAGTAAGAATTTCATCTTTTCATTTGCTGGAACTCTCAATCCTTTTACCCATTCTAATAGCAAGAGAAAGAGAAACGGATAAATATGCTAAAAGGTCAACCCAGCACTGTAGTTTAACTAGTCTAACATGTGATGTTTAGCCTAGCAATCATCAGGTTCCTATACTCCGACTTATATGAGAAGCTTTTAGCTCTCTATCCCTGTCCCCAACCCCAACCCCAAAAAGACTTCCGTTTTTTTCAGGATGAAATGAGAAATCTAGATAGAGAAGAAATTGCATATAGCTTTACCATCATGCAGAAAAACTCAACATGTCAGGAATCAAACATCAACATAAAAGAGAACAATCAAGAATCTTAAAGTAGAAGAGAGTAATAGGCAAAACTTGTACCATAACATCAAATTGCTCAGGCTTTGATACAAGTTGCATGCAACAGTTGTCCACAATTATCTCATTGTACTTGATCCCAGGGTATTTGCTTGCGATCTCTCGACAAGACTCCAAAAATAAACCATCAGCAAGTTTCATAATGTTTGCCTTGTGCACAGCAGTCACTACCTTCCGATTGTTGAGGTATGCATATTCAAAGGCATATTTAGCAATTCTTTCTGAGCAAAACTTTGTCATCACCTAGAAAATTCACATACCAAAGAAAATAACAATAAGAATCTGAAGGAAAGAAAATGTTGGATGTCTCTTAAAGTTAAACTGGAAAGCGCAAAAGATAGTATAAAGAACTTGAGAAGAATCATCCGGTCTAACATGAGCGGTTAAAATTTATCCTAAAAAAAGAAAGAAGCAAAGAAAAAGTGGCCCATAATGTACTCGCACTTAAAGCCACGGGGAAATTAAAAATAAAAAAGAGGGGAAAGAAACTCTTCCGCACACAGGCAAACAAAAGTACTTAGGGATCACTGAACAAGTACTCCACAACAAGATAATTGGAAAAAGGCAAAAAACTGTAACAATCTGTCACAGCTTGGAAATTGCAACAGCGAGACAAACAAAATTGCACTGGAAATATTGCAACAAGCAGATGATGGAGTTGACAATTCATATATCCTCTAAAAGCAAGCACGAGCTAGGTCCTGATCTAATGAAAATGCTACTCGCTACAGTAAGTCTACCAACTTGGAAGAAAAATCAAGGTAAGAGCAAATAATGCTCATACCAGATCTCTGGTAGAAAGACTGTAGTGATTGATTTGTACATCGATACTAGCTTCAGATGTGTAATTAAACTGTCTTGCAAACTACTTAAAAACCAGGAAATGTTATCTGGTTTAGACAAATATCATTCAGATTAGCACATGATGTACCTGAGCGAGTTCTTTTCAGTACAACACAGACTATTGGCACAGCATATCTTTGTCTGTGCTGCACAGAATATGTTAGGTGCTGGTTAACAACAAAAAAATGTAATATTTTGGGCCTTAACATAGAAATTTTGACAAAAAGAGTGAAAGGAGAGTACAGTGTTTTGGGAAGCGAAAAGCGGAAAAAAGCGACGAGGGCTTGCTTCACAGAAGCGAGAAGCGTGAAGCGAAGCGCGCGCTTTTTTAAAAAAGAGCAACATTTAGTATAAAAATAAAAAAATATTAAATAACTAAATAGAGGTAATATAGTCTTAGATTGAAAGAAATTACATAGGCAAAAATACTCATAAGTCATAACATATAAAGCAAAAAATCAAAAACATAATTAAATCACAAAGATTCAAACTCCTATTCTTCAACAAGGCTGCTAGACTGCTCACAAAATTAAAAAAAAAGCAAAAGAATTGAAAAAAAAACAGAGGAGGCAGCAGTCAGTAATTAGAAACAGAGCAGGCAGCAGAGATGAAGAGAAGAAGAGAAGAAGAAGAAAAAACTAGAGTAGTCGAAACTCAGAAAGATGAAGAGATGAAGCACAGACGAAGATTGTATATTTCAGGAGAAAAGAAACTCATAGAGATGAACTAATAAACATTAGCTAAAAAAGAGATGAACAAAAAGTTACCTGCAGTCGCGGTCGAGGTTGAAGAGAGGCAGCCTCAGTCAAGATCGTCATAAGAGAAAGAAGGGAAAGAAGTATTGGGAAAGAAGAGTCGCGAGGAAAGAAAGAAGGGAAAGAGTCGTGAGGAGAGAGAAGGTTATATTTCAGATTATTTTTAAAAAAAAACCTAATTTTTTTAAAAAAAACCTAATTGTCGCTTTTTTTTTTTATAAAAAGCGCGCTTTATTGCGCTTTTGCCTAGGGTCGCTTCTCGCTTCTTCATCTGAAGCGAGAGCTTTTTTCAGATTGACTCGCCTCAAGATAAAAAAGCGCACAAGGGTCGCCTCGCTTTGAAGCGCGCTTTTCACAACACTGGGAGAGTATGTTCAGAAGCTAAAGTAAGAAAGAAACTCTTGAAGAATAACAGAGAAGCCCAAAGACTGAGTTTGTTCATACATTAAGGCAAAACAACCAAGAAAGAAATGTTGACAGAACTATACACTTTTCTGCATCAAATTGGACATCTTATAATGAAAAAAATTATACATGAGCAACTTATCAAATAGGAGATTGGAAATCTGGTAAGAAACAAAATTATACATGACCAACTTATCTAACAGGAGACTGGCACATCCCTAACAAATACAAAACACTAGCACTTTTCTCATAGAACCATTTCAATATGAACAAGTGCGCAGAGCTCATTCAACTATTTAACTTGTGGCAACTTACTCCTTCTAACTCTATTTTCCCCAAATGCCTCACCAAAAGATGACAAGTTTACCTTTAGTTAGCTTCACTACAGCAACTATGAAGTTTATGGGCATTGACATTATCACTTTTACCCGTTCTTGGCAATGATTCAAGGTCCAACATTCCAGGAGCATCTTTTCCCCTCCTTCAGATCACCTTTTCTAGGTCGTCCTCCTTCCTCTCAACCATACTCACCCAAAAAACAGAATTAATGCTGCTGTTCAACTTTTTTTTATTACCTTAGAAAAAAAAACACATTTGAGTGAATAAAAAGTTATTTCAATTACATTTTCACTTTTACCTCTTCTTGTCAATCTTTTTCTAGGTCCACCTCATCCCTCCCCCCACCCAAAAGACAGAACTAGTCCCGCTGTTCGATTCCTTTTTTTTATCACCTTAAATCAAAAGGCACATTAGCATAAATTAAAATTTATTTCCTTCCACTTCCACATCCATTATAAATTGCCAGTGTTAATTTACAAGCTTTTCGATCCACCAGACTTCGCAGCAAAATGGCATTCAGAAAAGGAAGAAAGCACTTGGTGAAGACAAAGAAGAAGAAAAGAAAGAGGCAAGAAAGGGGTAGAAAATACGAGAAACTATTATTTTCTTTGTTTTACCTTAAATTCTTAGAGTTGTCTAACTTTCAAAATTTACTCATTTAAAGAAGTACTTGACAAACTTTCTCACAATTCCAAGCAGAATTTTACAGGAAAGGGCCATTTTATTGATTTTGACACTCGGATCTCTCTATGAATGGAAAGGGGGTGCTACAGACAGGTTGCTAATTATCCAATAGTTAAAGGGTCAATAAGATAAACAAACTCCCAATGTCCCAATATATATGACACTCTTTGATTTTCGGATCTTTCCAAATGTTTGACACCATTCCATCTTTATACAACTTACAACTATTAAGAATTCAAATCCATAAAGCTATTCAAACTTTGAGCTTTTACCTTTAATTTTCTCCAGCATACTAACTTTTCAACCATTACTTAAATAGTTTCTTCCACTAAATACATTGACAACCCCCCAAACTTGGGACTATTTCATTTTGGCACCTCATCTTGAGGTCGTCATATATAGTTTTATTTTTTTCTGGTTAACTATAAACCCACTTATAACTTTCTGAGAGAAGATGATGCCTGAAACATGGAAATTTCAAGACAAAGTCCGATGATTGCTTCTCTGTTTTCTGAGCTAGTTATTGTCCCCAAGATGAGGTGTCAAAATGAAATATTATGCCAAATTTGAGGGCCGTCGATGTGTCTCGCCTTTAATATATAAGACAAATAACATCTTAAACTCCATGTCCACCATCATTTTAAATGAAAAAAATAAACTATACAGTTTAAGGAGAAGTTGCCACAAAAAGATAGTTAGGACCTCAATGGTACTTTCCCTTCTTATAAACAACATTTATGGATAAATATGACTCAACTTAGTAAAATTTTAAATTTTTCATTCATTTGACATCATAAAATTGCACCTCATGGTTGTATTATGTTTAGAATGGAAATCACCACAATGTTGTAACTTATAACAAGTATGATCACTTACTGTTTGGGTAGGTTGATAGGTAGATGAGGAAAGAGTCATCTCGAGATGACGTTATGATAATCTCATATTACTGCCTACTTTATGGAGGTGACTCAAGGCCCTTATGGATCTAGAGCACCAGAAAAGAGTTCTTTATGGTGTGCGAGTCCGATGTGGGTGCCTGTCTGACTAGATAGCTTAAGGGGGAGATATATGGTATTTAGTAGTGTTGTTTATGCTGTAATAATTTGTGTTGCTTATGTAAGCAGCAGGAGGAGAATCTATCTTCTACTTAACTGAAATTTCTCTTGAGAGTTGTGGCCTCGATATTTCATTCTTAACATTCAATCAGTGCTCCCCAGTATTGCAATAGAGCCGGCAACAAGTTGGAAAATAAGCAATTCCAGGAGCTAGAATAAAATTTGGAAGACTGAAACCATCTTGTTTTTTGGTTAATATGAAGAAAACAGAAATAGCAAAATATCTGAGGGATCAGGATCACCTAGTTGAATGGTTGAAGTAACATGCTCTCTTTTGATCAAGTTTCACAAATAAGAAGTCAGCTGGGATGCAGCAGTATCACAAATAAATTGTATGTAAGTTCCTATTATTTTTACTTTTCGTTTTTCTTGAATGGTGCGTAATAAAATTCTCAAATTCACCATCAAAATCTTATCAACTGTTCCCATTGTTTGCATCTTTAGAAGTGCAAGAAAATTGTTCCAAAAAAATGAAATGATAGCTAGCAGTGGTGTTTAATATTATATAAACACCTATCTTCCTTGGTCAACAAACTACACCAAATTATTCAATAAATCAGGCAGGTGAAATCCATAGCTATCCTGCCCATACAAAGTTATGACTCTAAGTTTCACAATCATCCCACAGCCCACAGGTCAGGCACACTTGACTGAGCAACCATAGGTAATAGTTAAGAATTAGGACAAAGTGTTGACTTCTACTTAATCCCAAAGATGAGTTGGAACTCTAGAGGCCTAACCCCAATTATTTTGAATTTTATTTCACTTAGAATCTATTATGACATTGACAGTTTAGTGTTTTCCCCGCTTGTGATAAGAGTCAATGTGATGGTTCTCTGCAGTGACCTGAACTATTTGATCGGATACCATCAGAAAGGTGTTAACTATCAATTTGCAGTTAAAAACAGATTAAATGTGTGCAAAGAGCAGCAGAATAGCGCCTTTTTCTCTGATCTCTTCATTGCAGCAGGACCTACAACTAAAGCTATATGGGCAATCAACATAGACCTTGTTCGAGCCCAGTATAAGGTTACAAGCACTTCGGTCTCCATCCGAAATTGTCAAAACACAGTTCTTTTTGTTAAAGGTGTAAGCAGAACCGGATGCTTAGCACTGTTTAGACTTTCTCAGAATATATTTAAGGTTTCTTTAGGCTTTTCCTCCAACATCTATTAGAACAATCTTAATAATATAACGAAATGAGTTCAACCATGGACCTCCATTTGCAGAGAGGGTAATAAACAAAGTCAAATCTTAGTAAGTATGGGACTAAACTCAGCTGGTATACAATTTGAAATCCTACTAAGGATGAGGATTTGGGTCTTCAAATCCAGGAAGGGGAGATTTGATTTAATCCAGAATGATTCTGTCCATCACACGACAAGGATAAGCTTTGGCCTAGATGGGTCTAACTATCGTTAAAAAGACGAGGATATGCCTTCAATATCTTTAACTTGTTTGCAATTTTGTACAAAATAAAATAACTTCTACATTACAGGGAATAAAAGTAGACAAGTCTTATGACCCTCAACACTCAGTTGCATTAATCTACTTCAAAATCCAGTTGATGAAACTTCTAAGTTTAGATTCTCTTTGGTTTTCAATTAATCCAAGCTTCTAGTCACTTCATTCTGCTGTCATTTCCATTTACTCTAGATGTGTACGATAAGGTTGATATCAATATAGCACCAAAACCTCTTTGATTACCTAAAAGAACTACTACTTGACATTGCATGAATATAATTCCAGAAATAACGATCCTAATCACAAGAGCATTTGAAATCAAGTCAAGTTCAGAATAAACAAGTATGAATAAAGGTGAGAGTAAGAGTACCTTGAGACTCTCTACAACACCGGGAACAACCTCATGCTCCAATCCGGAATATTCGCCCTCAGTATTCTCCCTAATAACAACAATATCAACATTCTCATGACGCGTAGGAAGGCCTTTCAAGTTGAAGCAGTGAACAAGGGAAGCATATAGATCAAGCTCTTTCCTAAGCTGAACATTAAGAGAACTAACACCACCACCCACAGGCGTCTTCAACCCTCCTTTTAAACAGACCTTATTCTTCCGGATCGAATCCATCACATCCGGAGGCATATTCTTCATGTCTCCATGAACATCATAACGCTCAAAGTACACAGGAGCGTGCATCGCCTCCATGACTTGTTCAACAGCACCGGTTACTAGAGGTCCGATCCCGTCACCGGGGATGAGTGTGACGGCGCGTGGAGTGCCATCACCGGGTCGGGGCATGTAGGTAACGGATCGAACGGATGTTAAGGCATGAGATGGAGATGGAGAGGGAGATGAGGAGGTGAGGAAGTGCTTGAGGATGGGTAGGGTTCGCTTAGCCATTGATCGGAAATGGTAGAGGAAGTTTGACTATTGGGGCATGGAAATTAGGGTGAGAGGGAAGGGAAGGGAAGGGAAGAGACAGGTGATGAAAGGGGAAAAGGGAAGGAAAGGAAGAGGAAAAAGGAGATGCCGGAAGACTCACCACTGACGGCCCACGAGAGAAAAGGGAGGGGCAATATGTCAACTAGTAATTTTTTAACGTCTGATACCAATTCCGTTTGTACAATAAAATACTTCCGTTTATTTATTTATTTTTTCGTCAAATTGTTGTAAATAATTTGGATTTCAAAATATTTCAAGTTTTATTATAAAATTTGGAAAAAGTCTTTATTCCTTTTTTTTCCAAAGCTAAAAAAGGATGGATCATAAATCTTCAATTATAGTCCTAAGAGAGTAACACTGAGGTCTAGATTTTCTTTTAACACTCTTCTGGCAAGGGAATTGAGATTTGAGAATAGAATGCGCCCTAATTTGTACTATTTTGACTTGGTATAATAATATTCACAGTTTATTGTGTAACGCTGAGCAACAAGCTACATGCATTAAGGTTTACAAATAAAAAATGGATTTACTTATTTATTCGACCCATAAACAGTAATTTTGAGTGACAGAGTAGGTAATCCATAAAGAAACAAACTGTATGGGCTATAGTACAGCTACCTAAATCAAAACCTCAGAATTTGAAAAGGAAGTCATTCATATATTTTAAAGACCAGTACGCCTCACTATCGAATACTATAAGTCTAGCGCTATCAACATTACACACTATTAGGTTCAACGTAAGCTTTTCGAGTGACTGGCTAGGTGGCTGAGTAAAGTGAACAACAGTGATATAGAAACACAAATGGTGGATAAACCAGTAGTATGCCTATCAATGGTTTGGGACTGCTATAGTGCTTCCCAATCCCATCTTCTGCCCGAGTACTCCAAGCTGCTCAATAAACTCACCTCCCGTAAGAAATTTTGTTGTCCCGTATATGATATGCTTGACTGGCTGTTGGCGATGGGCAAATTCTTGCAAGCTTCCATACTCCACGTAGTTTCCACCACATATCATAAACACTATAGCTTCTTTAAATGGTCCTTTTAGATGACCGCTACTAGATGCAGAGCTTGATTTCGGTGCACGAGGATCAAGAAGAAGATAAGATGACCGCTACTAGATGCAAAAGAGACATTCAATGATTTTATCTTCTTTACATACTAAAAAGCACTGGTATCGACCTCGGACTCCCTGAGTGCTGCTTCAATCGTTTCGACTTCAGATTGTGGCATGCTTTCAGTTGAGATTAGATAAATTATAGCAAAACGCAGCTTATCCGCTTTACTCCCTTTTCCCTTGAGCACTCCAAGGAGCTCATTACGATCAATCCCGCCTCTCACCAGCATATCACTCTCTTTTTTAGCATACGAATCAAGGGATCTCTCTTTGATCTCACCCAATAATGAAGTAGCAATATTCGTGTGCTTATCAATCACTTGCTTTCGCTCAGTCCACTCAGGTTGGGAATTTACAGCATTCATCAAATGTTTAGTATTGCCAACCAAGTCTGTTCCATCAAACTCTGTCCCGCCGCTCCCACCTGTTCGTTTATTTACCTCCTCAACATCCTTCTTGTACTTCCCCAATTGAGACTCTATCTCTAATGCAACCTCTGGAAACTGCAATGACCAGTTGGCCATCTAAAATGGATCAGACCTATCCAACTCGTAGGATTTTATGCCACCCTTGTCCTCTTGCACATTTAATATGTTCAATCTCAACCCAAGCACATCATGAACAAGTGGCCTATACCTAAAATCATGCTGTATCGCTACTGACAATTCAAAATTCCGATCAAATAAACACAAAACTAGCCTCTGAAATGAGCTGGTGAAATTTGCACCCTCTGAAAACAAATTGTTCTTCGCCAACAAATGGTCTCGCAGTCGCTGATCCAACAGGGATGCCACCATCTCAGCAGGCCCACCACCAGGGCACCTGATGACAGGGACAACAACAAGAGTAGCCAACACACTAAACAACCCACTCACAAATTTTTCAACAATCTCATCAATTTCCTTATCCCCAGCTGAGGGATCATTTAACTGAAGATAACAGTTCTTGTAGGCAAGGGAGAACAAATTATCCTCAAGTGTGGCAAACTCCAAGTACTGATCATGCACTTTCGCGATATTACAATAGACTCTGAATTAATCGTACCTGAAGCAAAAAACAAGCATCTCACTCAACAAGTTGAAATATTTGCAAATTATTTCAAGTAATTGTGTGACTATCTTGTTTATTATTTCAAAACTTCAATCTTGAAATTTAAATAGGTATGAGAAATATTACATGTGAAATAATGATCTCAGCTCACAAAAAATTAACTTTATTTCCCAAACAAGATTCATGGTCTTGGCTTACAAAAAATTTAACGTTATTTTTCAAACAAGATTCATGGTCTCGGCTCACAAAATCTAACTTTATTTTACAAACAACATTCATGGTCTTGGCTCACAAAATTCAACTTTATTTTCCAAACAAGATTCATGTACAAACAATAGAAATTTGAACTTCAACTTATACTCTTTTCTTTTTTCTTTCTAATATCAAACAAATCAGATACAATGTCTTACACCTAACACCTCCCAAAATAACCATTTTTTCTCTCGCGAGTCATTCCCCTAAAGCTATCTCCGGATGAGAAGATTTCCCAAGTTCACCCATAATTATTCATTCAATGTGGGACTCTTCAACAAAAACATAGGCTTTGTTTGGATGGTTGTTACCCTTTGCATTTTATTTGTATTGATAGTTTCAATACTTGTTTTGATTATTTCCTAAAATTTATTCGTTTAAATTCATTGTTAGGTAATGACAAAAAGTATCATTTAAATTATTGAGTATGACATTATGTAAGGACGGAAAATGTCGTGATCTTTGCAAAGGTTATATTCACTAAATCAATATGATTCATTATGAAACAATAATGTAAGCACCATCCAAATAGAGTTTACGAAAAGTAAGTAAAGATGGAATTGAATCAGAACCTGAAGCGAGATCCTCGAGCAAAGGTCTAGGAATGGAAGACAAAAAATTCAAATAGAAAGAATCGTAAAGAGAGCTGGATGCATCGGAAATGATGTGTTGGACATTGAGATGAGTGGGTTGAACGAAATATACAGCAGGAACAGGCTTACGATCTTTGTCAATGAGGAAATAGAGGATAACACCGTGCTTACGGAGGTCCTTCACATGAATCAACGGCGATAAAATGTACTGACAGAACCGATCGTAAATGAGGATTTTGTAAACCTCCTCGTTGGCGGTGCCACCGGCTGTTTCAGATTCAACATCCGCGTGATACACACTGAACAATCAAATCAAACAAAAATTCAATTGAAAATCAAAGTTTATATGGCTATATTCATTCTATAAAATCGATAGATTTAGGTGCTGAACAGTCAGTTACCTGTATGTTTTTGACGAAGATTGAGCGCCATTTTCTTCAAACTTGAGATCCACTGCAAATTCCTTTAACTTGGGACGATGATGTTAATCTGGGGTTTGAACAAGAGTATACACTTTGCTTGTTCCTTGTGCAGTAAAAATTGTACTTCCTCGGTTGAGATTTTAGCCAAAAATGACTAGGTAGTTTAAAGGCTTAACTCATAGTTGATATTAATTTTCACTTAATTAACTTAACTAGGCCTTGTTCAATTTGAATATCAAAAGTAGATTTCTATTGTGTCATTTTAATTGAATTTATTATAGTGGTTATTTGTGAAAATTCTTCAATATATATCCCTTTAGATTCATATTCCTCTTGCAATATATAGCTCCAAACTAATTTTACTATATTATCTTTAGATTAGGATATGAACATGTAATTATTTTAAATTTTATGGCTTATTTCTGAACTTACTTTAATAGCTATAGTTTGCATATTTACAAGTTATACTTACGGTTTAAATTATCTTGTTTGTGTTGTATTGTTTGTATAATTCACGTGTTTGTATAATTCGCGGGTGAGTTTGTATAATTTGCTTGTACGTTTCTATAATTGGGCTATTTTTGAATAAATTTGAAATGACGAATTTTTACAAACGCATACATCTGAACTTTAAATAGATATATAAAGTAGATTGTTGTGTCTAGATCACTTAGACATTTATTTCCTTTAGTTATTCAAAATATAATATATAATATCATTTAATTAAGATTGTTGTGGCTAAATCTCAATCAAATAAAATTATATGAATAACTAAATATTAACTCAAAATCATATACAAGATTTATTGTTGAACGTTATGCAACAAAACAACAATCACTTTGCCTTTTATTATTAGAAATTGTTTTCAAAAATTGTAAAACAAAATCTGAATTTTTAAGAACCATTTTGAGTGATTTTAATTTGGGGTTGAATTTTTAAGAACCATTTTGAGTGATTTTATATAATTGTGCTTCCATCAAAAACGATTAAGAGGTTATTGAAAGTTACCAACTACTAGAGTGGTAGGATAGTGGATCCATGTAGTGGGATAATGTATAGTTAACCACCTTCCCATTGGTGAAATAATGTATCCATGAAACAAAATAATTGACCCATATAATATTGACCATATCAGGATTAACAAAAATGTCGACAGAATCCTTACTAATATGAATGAACTATCGGATTTTAAGTTTCACTACATGTGCAAACAACACATGTTTACACATTTAATTTTTTGATGATATTTTGTAAAGAAAATCTAAAGTATCAAGAGTTATGAAAAAAATGGAACGTTTTAAGTCAAATTTGTTTATGGCATTGCCTTAGTTAACGGAGGTTGATTTCTTTTATTTGGTTTGGATTTTATTTTATTTTGTTGTTATTAATTTATTGGTTGAATTTTATTTTTACTCAAAATTAATTATAAAAAAATTATTTTTAACATAAATAACAAATATTTTCGTTTAATTCATCACTTTACACATCATTCACGAGTGTAACACACCATATTATATATTTTTCCGGAAAATAAAAAAATATCAAAATGACACGATAAAATTCTATGTGAGGTGTCTAAAATAAACATCGCTCGTATCTAAGTGAAACACCATGCCAACTTTTAGGGGTCCACCAATGTGCGAAATAAAACTAGTATTCTTAGCCAAAAA